CAACACGAGACCGACACACAGTGCGACCGACCAACGCACGACACCAGCGACGACTGAACCGCAATCCCACCAAGACGACACGCACGCAGAAGCCAAACGCAACCGACCGCCAGGTACCCACCCAAACGGAGAAATCAACACTGCAAACATCCGCAACATCGACAACGAGAAGAACGTCGCACGCGAGAACCTTGTCTTGGAATCACGGGCCGAATCCATCAAGCGCACGAAAGGTCAAGCAGAAAGCCCCATGCACAAACAAAGTATGAGCAATTGGATTATGAGGCATCGACGAATGGTGCGGCGATGTGCCACGAGAGTGGCGAAACAGTCCCCACGATAATAACCTCAATGCGTTGTCAACTGGCATTCAAGCCTCCATACATCTCAGAAGAGGCATACCAATTCTGGAGGATAGCGGAAGGGATGGGGCGATGACGTGCGCGATATTCTTGGTGTCCCATGGCGTGCAAGAGCGACCCGCCCAGAATATCTACGACGTGAACAACTTAGATTGGCTCAAATTGGCGGCCTACGACGCAGTTTACGAGATTGGAGACGCAATCTGTCATGCTGTCCACTCCTGATGCTTCCGCGGAGCAGTAGCATCCGACTCTTCACCTCCACCTCCACCTCCACCTCCACCTGTCGACCTCCAACGCCGACCAGCTCAGCTTCCGACCTCGAACCACTAGCAGCCGAATCCGACTCTCCACGTCCACCTCCACCAATCGAGCCCCAGCGATCACCAGCTCAACATTCTGATTTCCAACCTCTAGCATCCGACTCTTCCATTCCCACCTCCACCAATCGACCTCCAGCGCCCACCAGCTCAGCATTTCGACTTCCAACCCTTAGAATTTGACGTCCGTTTCCACCTCCACCTAGCAACCTCCAGCGGCGAGCAGCTGAGCATTCCGACCGCCAGCATCTAGCATCCGACGCTCCAATTCCACCTCCGCCAATCAGCATTCCGACGTTTAACCTCCAGCATCGGACTCTCCCTTTCCACCGCCACCAATCGACCTCCAGCGTCCACCAGCTCAGCATTCCGACCCCCAGCCTCCAGCATCCGACTCTCCGCTGCCACCTTCACCAATCGACCTCCAGCGTTGAGCAGCTGAGTATTCCGACCTCTAACCTCTAGGGATCCGGCTCTCTACTTCCGCCGCCACCCACGCCAGACACCATGAACGCAATACGATTCCAATGACACCGCATAGCTACAACCGGCTGCGACAGAGGATTGGGAGCATTTGGCAGATCATTTGGTCACATGCGCACCTCCCTGGGTAGGCGCCCGGCGCGCGCAGTCTCTCATGCGAGGCCATGGCCTCACTTGCCCCGCCCTCCAGGGGCCCGGGCGCATGCCCGCACTGGCGTTCCGTTCCGTTCCGTTCCGTTTGTCTTGTTCCCCCCTCCCATTTCTCTAACTACCCCCCCCCTTTCTCGCTCATCCCCCTTCTCCCGCCATCATCTTACCCCTCCTTTTTTTTCTAGTCGTACTTCTCTTCCTACTCCTCCTTCCCCCTCTTAAAATTCCCAGCCCCTCCCTACCTCGCGCCAGCCCTCCCTCACGCCAGCCCTCCCGCCGTCTCCTCGTCCCGAGCTTGGCCTCTCCAGAAGCCAATCTTGGGAGTCCGCAAACACCAGCGTGGGCAGGTGCCCGAATCCTGCCCCATGCCCGGGAGCGCCCGCGCCCGCTCGGACGAAGGTCGAGGCGCCCTTCGGGGCGAGGGCTGAACCCCCCCCCTCTCCCAGGGAATGGTGTCCCTGTCGAGGCCGCGGCGGCTTGGACGCCCCCTCATCCCAGAACCGCAGGGAGCAAACCGCCCCCGTCCGTGACGTCCCTATGCGGCCAGAGGGAAGCCTGCAAGGCGAGGATCACGACGCGGGAGGAGATGGTCAGCTCGGGGCCGGTCAGGCCGCGCCCGAGACCCGCCGCCCGCCGCCGCCCCCGTGTTCCCGGGGCAGCCTCCGCACCGCCCCGCTCAAGCCAGGAGCGGCGATGACATCCGTGCTGGGCGCCCTCGCGGTGTGGGCCCGCGTGGGCGCGCTCCCGCGGACACGCTGTCGATTGGTTGCGGCCCGCGCGGGAGGTCCGCGAAAACTCGCCCCGTGTCCGCGGGGTCGCGGCCGGGGGGCTCGGCCCGCGAGGCCGCGGCCACAGGTATGTGCGTTCGCCTGCGGTGCAGGGCGTTCGCGGTTCGGTCGGTGCGGCTGCGTCGCAGCCGGTTGCGCTCGGCCGGTTCGGCTCGGTCGGTGATTGTGTCGCTGCTGCGTTGTTGCGCCCTTCTATGCTGTTTGCGGCCTGCCGATCTCGGTCGGTTTCGGTTCCGCTGTCGGTTCGGTCGGTGTTCGGCGCTGTTGTCGCCGTGCGCGGCCCCGCTGGTAGCGGAGGGGAGGGGCGGGATCGAGGTTTAAGAGACATGGGTCAATGCTACCGGAGGTCAGCCAGAGCGCTGGATCTTGCAGGATCCTGCAGAGTCAGGGGTGCACTGACCTGGGCTTGGGTGCAGGATCCTGCAGGATTTGCAGAATCTTGCAAGGCCCGACTGGCCCGGGTCTGGATTGACCTGGGTCAATATGTCCCCGACACAAGGACCCGGGAGAAAAAAACCCTGCACAAGCATCATTTCTCGACGCTCCGCGCGGATTTCTGGCATCAGCGCTGGACCCCCTGGTGTCGCCTCTGGCGCCGACCCTGGCGCGCTGCGCACAGCTCAGGGGGAGTCCAGCGCAGATCCAAGAAATCCGCGCGGACCGTCGAAAGTTGATGCTCTTTCTCTGGGGCCCATACCATCTACCTTCTACCTCTGGAGCGATTCCCACCCAGAAGCTCGAGGCGGGATACTCAGGGCCTGAGGGAGCATCCTCACACTTAGAGCCTGAATCCCGTGGTTTTTTAGTCATCATTCGTCGAAGGCACGAAGCGGGGCACCCTGGGAGCACCGGCACGCATTATGCCTGGCGGCCACGGTATGCAGGGTGTGCGAGGCGGGGCGCTAGCCCAGTGCGGCCACGCGCCCTTCCCGTTCCTGCTGCTTTACGCTGCTGCAGTCCTTCCACCCTGTCTTCCCACTTGCTTTCGCGTCCTCCGCCGTCTCCGCCACCGCGGGCAGTCTCTCTGGCAGCCCGTCTCGTCGCGTGCTCAGCCGGGCGCAGTCTCCGTACCCGGTTGGTGTCGTTCGTCGACGCCGATATCTCTGAGGTTGTTGCAATTTGATCACGCCCCACTCCTGACCCTGCCCGGGTGGTCCTGTGCGGTCGATCCAAATTGCTCCCGCATCAGAGGGCCTGGCCGCGCGCACTCGCCCCGTGCTGCCTGTTCGGCTTGCTCTGCCTCGCCGCTGCGCGCGAGGCCGCGACACCCAAACAAATGTGTGTGAGGCGTGCCGAGAGCTTTTAACCAGCCTAGCCTGAAGTCGGGCCTGTCCCTCTGCAGGAGGAGTATCCAACATTTGTAACACAAATAAGCTGGGGACGATGTTTTGTTATTTTTGATTTGTTTTGAATATTGTTTTGGTTTTTTTCTTGATTTCGCCCAAAATCCGCCTGTAGGAGGACATGCCCGACCTAAGCCTAGCCACCCCCAACCCATCGAGTGCGGAGGCAATCTGCATAATGGTAAAATTTCCGAGGTCCTCATGGGTTTCTCTGACCGGCGCTGGACCCCCCTCCCTGGCGCGCGCCAGGGAGGGTGGCTGGAGGCGCCGCCAGGGTGGTCCATCGCCGATCCAAGAGATCCGTTCGGAGCTCCGAAAGTTTATGTTCATGCAGCTGCTGAGTCCTCAAAATGCTAACGTTTCGAACATTCTATCAAGGCGCAGGTTTGCGCGCTCTGGGGCCTCGGGGGCTGCATGTGCCTGGCCCCGCGATCAAGAATCATTACGGGTTGTCCCGGGAGACGTGGTCGAGGCCCCACGGGTCTCGTCTGACCCCCCGCCATTCAGCAACTTCGGTTCAGAAGCTTCCGACCCCATTTGGGAGGCCCCCCACCTTTCAAGACAGGCCTCCCCCTCTTCAGCACATCACATCCCCCTTTACAGTCACGACGCTGAGAAGAAGGACAACACAAACCATACACATAAACTTTTGGCGGTCCAGGTGAGCGTGGAGTTTTCGGATCTGCGCTGGGACCCCCTGGCGGCGCCTCCAGCGCCGCCCCTGGCGCGCTCCGCGTGCCAGGGCGCCAGGGAGGGGGGTCCAGCTCAGATGCAGGACATCCGCGCGGACCGTCGTTGATATTCATGCCGTTTCTGGCTTTTATAAGGAGGGACATTGATTGTCGGGCCGTTCCCTGGAGCTAGGTCGGCGAACCTCTTCAAGGCCGAGGCGCCCAGTGGACAGAACCAGTCTCTCGACCCCGATGTCCGCGGACGACCTGTGTGTACCGTACCGCGTTGGTGTCTCTCCAGGTGTTGTTGGTCTTCGGCCCAGGAATGGTGCGGTGCATAGTTTCGATGATCCTCAGAACGAGTGTTAGCCCAAGCGTGCGTTCATCCCGATCGGTTCCGCCTGTATCGGCCCTCGTTGCGCCTCCTACGTAGTAGTGAAGGGAAGGGCCCCGGTGGACAAACACACGCTGGCGTTAACACACGTTCTGAGGATCCTCGATGGTTGTGCCTGGCAACAGAGCCGACAAGCTAGGCCTGTACCGCGTTGGAGCGAGGCCTGGAGCCTGGAGGGAGTCCAAGCACGGCTCGGTGCACGAGCGCCGGTCGCGTACAGCGGTATCGGCGTCTGCCCAACATACTAGCACTATGTGTGCGCCCCCCCCCCCCAGTGGCGACGCGCGCCCCGAGAAATCTTATAGTATATGCGTCGTGGCGGGCGCTTTCTGGCCACAACGCTAGGGAAACGATGAACTACAGGATGGGTGTACCATATGTTCGGGTCGGACGCACGCCTCCGAGGAGGACATAACTAGTATGTCTCTGTACGTCCCACGCTCGCATGATGAATCTATCGCGCCGCCGGGACGAGCCATCCCCCCGCAGGAGATGCGCAGCTCCCGCTTATTTGCCCGCGCCTCGGCAGCGCCTGGCTTCCGCTGTCCTGGCGCACGAGCGTGCACGGCCGCTGGCCGCAGAGGCCGGCTGCTCGTGGGGAGTGCCCCCTCGCCGCATTGGTTATTTTTGAGTTTGGAGGAAGAGCATCAAAGAACAACGAGGCAAAGGTACCCATACCTCTACCCTTCCCTCGTTTTCCCCATGTTGGGGCCTCCCGGGAGGTCCTCGTCGCCACCGCTGGATTCGCCTCGACCTCCCTTCCAGAACGCACCCTGGGAGAGGTCCGGGGAGCCGCGGCATCGGTACCTCTTTGAATGTTTCCCGGGTCCGCTCTGGGTTCTCGGGGCGGCGTTGGGCCCATGCCCTGGCGGCGCTTTTGGCGCCCTCCTCCCTCTGGCGCGTTCCGCGCGCCATGGAGGGGAGCCCAGCGCCGATCCCAGGCATCCGCGCGGGCCCTCGGGATAATGCTGTGCAGTTGTTTGGTCTTCTAGCTCCAGCCACCTGTCCTCGTTTTCACTTTTGGGGGCCTCCTGGGATGCCGTCGTCGTCACAGCTGGATTCGCCACGGAATCCGGGTCAGAGCGCACTCCGGGAGTGGTCTGGGGAGTAGCGGTATTGGTTCTCCCATAATGCAGGTGCATCGTCTAGGAGGGTCAATTCAGCATCGGTGTTGGTGGATCCGTGGCCCGAAACGGTCTTATTTGGCACAGTCTATTGAATTTGAGTTCACGCCATCTGGCTTGATTTCATTCGGCGGACTCCCCACGCTCACTCTGGGCTGTTCCGGCTTACTGGCCCCTTAGTTTTGCTGAAGTTTTCTTGCGAGAACTTATTCTTCTCCTCCTCCTCCTCCTCCTCCTCCTCCTCCTCCTCCTCCCTCCTCCTCCCCCTCCTCCTCCTCCTCCTCCTCCTTCTCCCTCCTCATCCTCCTCCTCCTCCCCCTCCTCCTCCTCCTCCTCCTCCTCCTCCTTTGCATGCGCGCCTCTCGGCCGGCGCGGCGAAGCCAAGCACAGGCTCGGAGGAAGAACAGAGTTCGATGCCGCTGCTCGTCCTGGCGTCGCTGCGGCCGGGTTCTCCTCGAAATTCTGGTCAGAAGGCACCTGGGGCGAGTTCTTGGGAGTAGCGTTATAGGTCGGGCCTGTCCCTCCACAGGAGGAATATTCTGGAATGGTCACACGTAGCCTGGGGACAATGCTCCTAGTTGTTTTAGAAAGTTTGTTGGGTATGTTTGGACTATGGTTTAAAGCTTGTCGCCCAACATCCGCCTATGGGGGACATGCCCGACCTTAGAGTAGGGGTATGGGTCTCTGTTGGCCGTCCCAGGGGACGCAGGCACCCAAGCATGCAGGCCAAGCCCAAGCCAAGTCCAGCCCAATCTTCGACCTCTTAGAGGTTTGGTTTATCCTTTTTCGTCGGTTTCAGGCCCAGGCTCTAGGTTTTTGGGCTGGAAGGGGTCCTGGCTTTGGTTTTAGTTGATTTCGGGCCCAGTTTTCTTTGGTCTTATCCCTTATGACCCATCTGTGGACCGCCGAGGGACGTGTCGGACATCATAGACATCATTTGTTTCAGCGTGATCGTTTCTTTTATCGGGAGAGTAAGAAAGCGCAAAAAAGGAATGACACATTGGTTTGGCGTTTTGAGCTCCTGTGTTTCAGCGCTTCCAGATCAGTTTCTGTTTGCGTTGTTTAGCACTGCCGTCTACCATGGTCTCAGTTATTCTTGCTTGCGTCCAGTCCTCCCTATGTTTTCATCATACTCATTTGCTGCTGGCTGGTCGCGGGGCCTCCGGGACTAATCTTTGCCGGTGTTAGACCAAAGTTAGGGCGTTGTTTTGCGTTAGTAGCGCTGCGCTCTGCGCGCGGGAAAGTAGGAACCAGAGGCGACTGGAACGGGAGAGTTGGAGCGTATACCGCAGTGAGGACAAGCAGCAGGTTTGACAAGAAAACAAAACGCTAAAGCATGCAGATCCACAGCGACAGTTTCGAAAGCGCGAACACTTGAGTAAAGTACGGTCTACCAACACATAGTTGTTTAAGATCGTTGTTAGCTTGATTTAGCGCTTGTAGCTTGACAAGAGCCCGAAGTGCAAAATGGTTAACAAAAACAACGCCCAGGATGTTTTTACGAAGAACCATGCGTTCCAGGGCCATCACACGAACTTGGCGTGCAGTCGGTGACGTGGTGTCGGTGGAAGTTGTGTCGTCGTAGTGTAGCAGTTGCTGTCGTCGTCGTAGTGTCGTTCATTGACCTATGCGTTTGAGCGTTCGAGGCCGGAAATTAGTAAGTTTTTTTCGCGCCATGAGCAGCAGCAGATGTAGCAGGGATTGTAATAGCTGCACTGGCAGCATCAGTCGTACAAGGAGTATACAAGACAGGGCAGAAGCCGCACAACCGTGGCTTGCTATTATTACTCGTATTATAATTATTATTTCTATTATCCGGTCGCAGAAGTAGCGGCATTGCAGAAGTGGTGGTGGCAGTGGTGGACTCCCGAGCTGGCCTCTTCCAGGAGACGGCGCGATGTGCGAAGGTGGGTGTCTAGTAAGGTCATTCGCCACACCCAGGGATCGCTTAGAAATTGTTTCTCGGGCGCAGCGTAAGGGGGGGGGCCTTACGAGTTGGGGTTGAAGAAGGGTGTCCTTTTTGTACACCAGAAGGGGCTTTAGTGCCGCCCCCTGGGGCCCAGGAGGGGCACGAAAGTTGTGCACGCTTCCCCATGAGGCAGCGCTCGAGCAGCAGGTCGGGGGCCCTGGCCGTTCGATATCGAAGAAGAAACAACCACAAAAACATAACCTTTTGGCGCTCCGCGCGGATTTCTTGCATTCACGCTGGATCCCCCTCCCTGGCGCGCGGAGCGGGGCGGCGCCGGAGGCGCCGCCGGGGGGGGGGGGAGCCAGGCGCGGATCCAAGAAATCCGCGCGGAGCGCCAACAGTGTATGTTTACATCGTTTTTCTTCTTCGAGTTACGCCCTCGGACATCCGCAGCCTTTGCTTGAACCCCAGGGCACTCCGCTGCGTGCCCGGGGCGCGGCGGCGCGGCGAGTCACTTGCGGCCGCGGCGGCGGCAGCGATTTGCCAAGGGCGTGGCCTCCAGAGCCTCTTCTCGGGGGGACCACATTAGGATGAGATGGACTCAGGTTGGAGCGAGCAGTTGGGTCTGAGGTGGCGCAGCATCTTCCAGCCAGCAGGAAGAGGGGGCAAAGTCCGAAGTTCTGGGTTCGAGAAGGACATTCATCGGGGATGAGAAACTGCACCAGATGGATCCCAGGAGGAATCTGGGGGCTGATTTTGAAGTGATTCGCTCTCATCTCCCCTTTTGACCGATACTCTCGGGGCCCAGCCGGTTGAGAACCCCTTGCCGCCTCCAGGGCTCTGGGGGGGATGCATCGACAGAAAGCCGGTTTCTTCATCCCCTGGCGATCACGGGCGTGACTGGCGGGGGAAAGGGGCGAAGAGGGCTGGTCACGTTACGATTCGCGCCGGCGCCGTCTGGGGATACCTAACAATTGTTCATTCTGAGGCGATGCCGTCACGAATCGTGACGTGACCAGGGGGGGTGGGGGGCCAGTCGCGGGCATCATCGCGAATGATAAAGCATTTGGTTCCAGTCTGGAACCAAATCCTTCCGGACGTCTTCGTTGGATCCCGGAGGTGCTCCTGCCTCGGGTGGCATTCCAGCAGCTGCGCCCGGATTGCCGCCAACGGCCGCGCGAGGACGCATGGACCCCTATCATCGCCGACTCGTCGCTGATAGGGGCTGATGTATCGGCGGTGTATCGCCGATTGCAGCTCGATGGCCTCCCCCTGAATCGGGTCCCCCTAGCGCTTTTCCTATATCATCGGGGCTATCCACAAGGGTTGCGCCGAACTTGCAGACCTGCTTGCCCCCCCTAGCCCCACCCGCGTATCATGACTCCTGTTCACAACACCGCCAGACAATGTAAGCTTGACGCCCCCCCCCCCCATGACCCCACCGCACAGGCCAGCCCAATGACCCAGTGCCAGTCCCTCAGAGCTCACGTGTCTGGAACAGAAACATGACCATGAAACAGACGCCACCGCACACAGAATGTTGCACACTCCGCGGGCTCAGGCTCGCGAGCATGAGACGCTCGACAACATACGAACAACATGTTTCGGGCGAAAGCCCGCGTAGCCTAGTGAACGCATGTGCGGCTCCCAACGTACAGTCAAGACTCCGAAAGAAGGGCCCCTTTAGGCTCAGGAGTGTTCCCAGACAGCCGCAGCCTCTCCCAGACGTGTGCACGTTCCCCAATCAGTGCTTGCACTGAAGCGATCCCCGCGGAAGTTGAAATATTTGGCACAAGTGACCCGCCGATTTTGGCCGCATGTTGGGTTCCGGGGGTCCCGGTTCCGGGTTCCTGGGCTCCCGGATTCCCGGTTGATCTCCTTAGCGAAAACCATCCATTGATTGGTTTTTTTCTCTGGTGTAGTAGTTTTGTCTATTGCCGATGCGCTGTCCAGGCGCGGCTCTCGAGTGAGTGAGTGAGTTTGGCCTCAGGAGGGGCTCTGGTTTTCGGGTCGTTCCTCACTGTAATTGTTCTGCTGCCGATGCGCCGTGCAGGCGCGGCTCTCGAGTGACTGAGCGAGCTTACTCTAGATTTCGTAATAAAGGGAGGGGGGTCTCAATTCGGGGGGGGTCTCTTCCAGGCTATCTTGGAGGGCCTGGGGGGGTCTGGGGACGATGTTTTGGAGGGTTCTCCCACGGGGGAGGTCTGAAATGGCTTGTCTTGGAGGGTCCAGACCCCCTTCCTTTTAGTACAACATCTGGAGTAGCCTCGGGAGGGGCTCTGGTTTTTTTCGGGTCGCTCCGTACGCCCGGCTGCGGGCACCTTTCCGTGGCCGAGGCTCGCCGCGACCGGTGGCGATCAGGGAAGCCCCTTCGCTTCTTCTTCGGCGCCCCTTCTCGTAATGCGATGCTGGTATTTTCAGGAGGGAACAAAAACACACAGACACATTCAATCGTCGATCCCTAGGAAAATATTCGAAAATATGGGAAATGGGGAGGAAGACAGAAACCCAGAAAAATACAGGAAAATATAGGGAATCCTGTTATTTGAGTCTATTTATTTGTGTGTTCCTGGGCCCCTTCATATTTGGGGACTGGGAGCAACGTTTGTAGACCGCATCGCAAGTTGATGAATATTGTATCCGTTCCTGCCCACCAACATTGCCACATGCACAGTTCCCGCCTCGGCCGACCTGAGGCGATGAACGAACGTCGGATTTCCTGGCGGTCCGCGCGGGGTTCTTGGGTCGGCGCTGGATTCCCCCCGCGGTGCCGCCGGCGCTGCCCGTGGTCCGTTCCGCGCGCTGGAAAGGTATGTCCAGCGCTGGTCCAAGAAATCCGCGCAGACATGCGAACATTCTTGCTTGTGCCGATGATTGTTTGTATTATTTGTTGTTGTTGTTGCCTCATTGTTCGACTCTTCTTCTTCTTCCGAGGGGCGGCTCAGGTTTGCACGCACCGCCGTGCGCTGGACCTCGCCGCCATGCTGGACCGCGAGGGGCAGCGCACCCACGTGCACCCGCTCCTCAATCCCATGGACTGGGGCGCGTACGAGGACGGGCTCGGGGTGCATAGTGGGGATGTCCCTGGGATCTGGACGTTGCATCCTTTACACATGGTGTGTTCGCCCAGCTCCGAGCCCTGGGACCATGAGAGATCGGCGTGACTCAAAACATGCAGCAGGATGATGTGATCCAGGGCTCTGGTTATGATCCTTTGCGAGGTTGCATCTCTGTTCGCAGTGGTGGACCCCAGGGACTTGCGTTACATTATGCATGCGCCTTAGACGCTCCAAGCCCTCGCGCCCACCCCGTGCAGACCCCAGGGCAGGGGGTATCGGGGGAGGGGCAGGTCCCTCCCAGCAGGGGGAGGGGCATCGGAAGAGAAACCGCCCCTAAACCACCTCCGTTCAGGGGTCTGGCCATCTTGTTGCTCCCATGGAGCGCTTCAAGACGGTATTGGGGCCCTCTTCGGGAGCCTCGGGTGATCTTTAGGTCCTCTTGGGCCGATTTAGGGCCCTCTTGGGGCTAAGCGCGATCAGGCTTGTCCGTGGTGCTCGGAACCTCATTGTCCTGCGCGGCACTGATGGGCGGGCTGCGCCGAGGCCCGCTCCCGCCTTGATGCTGAGTACCGGATCGCGCCAGAGCGGTTGGCCTCCCAGACCCGTGTGACGGTTAAGTCCAGCTTGGTTGTTCCCCACATCCAAAGTGGGGTTCTTGTTTTCTCTGGACACCCCGCGCAGGAACAGGAACACACACACACACACACACACACACACACACACTCACACTCACTCACACTCTCTCATCATCAACCTCATCAGCATCATCGATGATGCTCTCTCACATGCTTAGTCACTCACATACTCATCATCATCATCACTCGCACTCTCTCACACGATCACGAACATCATCATCATCATCATCATCGGCATCGGCATCATCCTCATTCAAACATCATCATCGCCACCACCACTCACAATCAATCATCATCCTCTTCACCACTCATCTTCACCACCACTCATCATCCTCATCCTCATCATCGTTGAGTAAATTGTGAGGAAGTCTCAGGCGGGAGCCCCTCCCTATGGGGCCCGCAGATCATGTTGGTAATCCGAGCGGGTCATCGGGATCCTGTAACTGTCGTCACTTTTGAGCTCCCCAGGCCTGAAAATGGAGGAAGTCTCAGGCGGGAGCCTCGTCTCTGAGTGAATTGTGAGGAAGTCTAAGGCGGGAGCTCCCTCCCTATGGGGCCCGCAGATCATGTTGGTAATCCGAGCGGGTCATCGGAACCTTGTAACTGTCGTCACTTTTGGGCTCCTCAAGCCTGAATATGGAGGAAGTCTCAGGCGGGAGCCTCGTCTGTGAGTGAATTGGGAGGAAGTCTCAGGCGGGAGCTCCCTCCCTATGGGGCCCGCAGATTATGTTGGTAATCCGAGCGGGTCATCGGAACCCTGTAACTGTCGTCACTTTTGGGCTCCTCAAGCCTGAATACGGAGGAAGTCTCAGGCGGGAGCCTCGTCTGTGAGTGAACTGCGAGGAAGTCTCCGGCGGGAGCCCCCTCCCTATGGGGCCCGCAGATCATGTTGGTAATCCGAGCGGGTCATCGGAACCCTGTAACTGTCGTCACTTTTGGGCTCCCCAGGCCTGAAAATGGAGGAAGTCTCAGGCGGGAGCCTCGTCTGTGAGTGAACTGCGAGGAAGTCTCAGGCGGGAGCCCCCTTTCTATGGGGCCCGCAGATCATGTTGGTAATCCGAGCGGGTCATCCAAAACCTCTAACTGTCGTCAATTTTGGGTTCTCGCGCTGCCAGAACGCAGTTCCCAGGCCACATTTTGGACGCAACAAGGAAGTTCTTGGGCTCCTCAGGCCTGAATTTGGAGGAACTCTCAGGCAGGAGCCTGGTCTCTGAGTGAATTCGCGCACCGCAAGCGTCTCACGAAGCTGGCCAAGGAGCTCCTGGCGCTCCCGTGCATGTCCGAGGCGGCCCGCGAGGACGTGGGCGCGCCCGCGCCAGCGGACGCCGCGACCGCTCCTGCGCCCGCGGCCGGGTACCGACCGCTGGTGACTGCGGCGCGCGAGGAGAGACACTCCTGGGCGAAGCTGCAGGACGACCGCCTCCAGAGCACTGGCGACGAGGATGACGCGGGCGTCGACGACGGCGCGGCCGAGAGCGCCGGCGGCCTGGGCACCGACCCCTCTGCGGCAAGTTTCGACCGAAGCGTGTACTCCACGCCCAGCGCGTATATCGCCCAACTGGTCGCTAATTTGCCGGAGGACCAGAGACTCACGCAGGACCAGACGCTCATCGTCGCCAAGTTCGCCAAGGCCTGCGACGAAGCCTGGGAGGACGACGTGCAGAAGAAGCCCTGGAGCGAGAGAAAGGTGACGCACTTGCTCCTGCTGGGCCAGGGCGGCTCGGGGAAGACGCACGTCGTGCAGAAGATCGTCTTCCCAGTGGTGGAATACGTGTGGCCCTCGCCGGCGCCGGACAGGGCCAGCGTGATGGTCGTGGCTTTCTCGAACGCGCAGGCGAAGAACATCTCCACCGAGACTGTCAAAGCCAGAACGCTGCACAATGCTTGTGCCATGCGAGTTCAGAAGTACACCGACGCGAAGCTGCGGCCGGGGGGCATGCAGAAGAGGCTGAAGTGGTTGTGGGAGCACGTCCGCGTTCTTGCCATCGAGGAGATAAGCATGGTGGCAGCCGCGCTGTACAACGCGCTGGACCTTCGCGCCTGCCACGGACGCAGTGACACGCACGACGTGCAGGAGTCGAACTACCAGCGGCCACACCACCACTTCGGGCGCGTGCCCATCGTGTTGCACCTCGGCGATTTCCTGCAGCTGAAGCCCACCGGCAGCATTGGCCTCCTGACGGACGTGAACGAGCGCCTGGACGACGACGAGTCGCACAGGTACGCGGACCCGCCGACGGTGGAGATCCAGCACGCCATCAAGGTCTTCTCTCAGATCCCTTGCGTCTTCGAGCTGAAGGGCACGAAGCGCTTCGAGCCCGGGGACCATCTGATCACGTTCCTGGGCTGCATGCGCGAGGGCAAGCCCTTCCCACCTGAGGTCTGGTCCGCCTGAGAGAAGACGTTGGCCACGGACAACCAGGGCGTCCTGGACCCTCGGCACCAGCGCGAGAACTTTCGGCTCGGCTACGGCATGGGCATATACTGGGAGACGCTGGCGAGGTGGATCAACACGCGCGCTCGTCGCGACGCTCGGCGTCTGGGCGTGCCCCTCGTTTTCCTGCAGGCCGTTGACGAGTGCGGCGCGATTCAGGGCGAGCCCGACGCGGGTCGGCGCCTCCTGAACGTCCCGAACATGCACAAGACGGGGGGCATCCACGGCGTTTTGCCGGCCCACGTCGGCATGGAGGTGCGGTTCACGGCAGCGCAGGAGGAGCTGAAGAAGAAGTTGGGGCTCGTGCAGGAGCAGCGGGCCACCATCGTGTCCTTCGAGTTCCACCACGAGGACGAGCAGCGCTACGAGGAGTGCTCGGCAGGCCAGCTCTTTCGCCCCCGCTTCCGACCGCAGGGAATCTGGCTGCAGGTGCACGGCTTCAAGGAGTCTCCGATCTACCAGGAGGTCGCCGAGGTGCTGCGACAGGGCGCCGAAGGCGCCGACGACGACGGCCAGGCCGAGGCGCGGGCGCGGAGCTTGCTGATGGTCAGGCCCAGCGAAAGGGAGTTCACATGGCAGAGCTCGGGGGCGCACAGCGTGCGCCGCTCGGGGTTCACCCTGGCGCACGCGCCCTACCTGACCTCCACGCTGTCGCAGGGCCAGACGCTGCGCAAGGGCGTCACCATCGACTGCGCGAGAGACGAGGACGCTGGCCGCACGGGCATGTCGGACGAGCAGTGGTGGCTGCACCTCTACGTCATGTTCTCCCGCGCCACGTGCATGCGGAACATGCTGATCCTGCGGCCGCCGCCGCGAGTGTTCCTGGAGTGCGGGCCGCCGGCGTCCCTGCGGAAGGCGCTCCTGGAGTTCGACAAGAGAGCGGTTTTGTCCAGGGCGGAGGCGAAGCAGCTCGCGGCAGAGCTGGGCTTCGTGCTGCCTTCCGCCCGAGCGCGGCTGCGCCTCGCTCGAAGCCCGCGGGGTTGTCCCAACGGCTTGGTCTTGCGCGCCAGCGGCTCGCGGGGTTGTCCCGACAGCCTGGCCCGCGGGGTTGCCCCAACGGCTGCGCGACGTGACCAGTAGAGAACGCGCCTGTGCTGGCCGTGGCGGCGACGGCGCCGAGGAACATCGACTTGCGCGCTCATGCAACAGGAAGGGGAGGAGGTGGCGGGGCGCGGAACAAACAGGGGGGCGAGGATGGGGACAACGTAAGGAGTGGAAGGGGGGCCCGCGCCAAGGCGAGAGGAACTATACGCAGAAGAGACAGCCAGGGCGCCTCACCAACCACGAGGACGACGGTGATGGTTTTTTCCAGATTCGCCCAGAGGATTCTTATGTGGGGTTCTTCCGTCGGAGTAATTATTCGTCTTTTTTTTGTTCGGCCCAGCGACGCGCCCAGTTGCACTTCGCAGCGTGCCGTCTGGGCTTCGAGATCCTTCAGGGTTTGGAGGGTTTTTCCGGAGGGCTTAGGCGACCCGTTTTTCTCCGCCTCCTCCTCCTCCTCATCATCCTCCGTGTTCTCCCTCCTCCTCCTCCTCCTCCTCCTCCTCCTCCTCATCCTCCGTGTTCTCCTCCTCCTCTCCTCCTCCTCCTCCTCCTCCTCCTCCTCCTCCTCCTCCTCCTCGGGTCGCCTACAGCCCCCGGGGAAAGCGTGCATCAGGGTTTCCCTCTGCCAACTGAGGTCGCCAGCGCCCAGTACAGCGCTTCGTGGCCCCACAGGGGGCTCCATCGAAGCCCCAGTGGGATCGTCCGCATGCGCCCCGGAAGCCCAATGTGGCATTTTCACCCACCCAGTACAGCGATTCGTGACCCCATAGGAAGCTTCACCGAAACCCCCAGTGGGACCGTCCGCATGCGCCCCGGAAGCCCAGTTTGGCATTTTCACCCACCCAGTATAGCGTCTCGTCACCCCATAGGGAGCTCCACCGACGGCCCCAGTGCTACCGCCCGCATGCGTCCCCCCCCACCCAGTGCAGCGCCTCGTGGCCCCATAGGGAGCTTCACCGAAAAAGTATGTACAACTGCGGTACCCACAACTGCATATGGTTGGGTCCTTCGCCAGAATATTTTTATGTGTTCGTGCCACCCCCCTGTAATCATGATTAGCGTTTGCAGCAGTCGTACCATTCCTCAAGCCAAACGCCATCAATGTATGCTTCACGACATTTGGCTTCATCGCTCTCTCGCTCTCTCCCTCTCTCTCTCTCTTGTTTCTCCCTCTCCCCCTGTTTTCTCTCGTTCTCTCCCTCTCTCTCTACATTTTGGTTCCCCCTTTCTCTCCCTCTTTTTGTTGTTGTTTCTCTCTCTCTCTCTTTCTCTCTCCCTCTCTCTCTCTCTCTCTCTCTCATCCTCCAAGTCTCTCCCTACAACACCACGTCGTCTCGATCAATCTCTCCTCGTTCTTCTCTCTCTCTCTCGTTTGGTGTTTTTGTTTTTTTCTCTGCTCGCTCTCTCTCTCTCTCATCTCATCTCTCTCTCTCTATATCTATATATATCTATATATATATTATATATATATATATATATTTTTTAATATATATATCGGAGGTTGGGGGGGTGAGATCGAAGTGGAACGGAGAGCCCCCCACTGGGAAATCGGTTTCGGTTTCGTGTTCGTGCGTGCCGTGCGTGAGGGCGAGGCGAAATTGCGTGGGCGGGCGAGAGGAAAGTCTCCTGTGTCTGAGGCGCGGCCGGACCAAATGATTCTCCCTCCGGCAAGCGGTGGCCCGCGGTGTCCCGCCGGTGTCCCGCCGGTGTCCTGCTTGTGGCTGGGTCCCGGCCGGACCAAATGATTCTCCCTCCGGTAAGCGGTGGCCCGCGGTGTCCCGCCGGTGTCCCGCCGGTGTCCCGGTGCCCTGCTGGTGCGAAAACTGGCTTGATTTAGGGCGGATTTCAGTTGAGTCAGTTGAGTGTTTTTGTGTTTTGATGCCGACGACGATTGTAATGATGGTGGTTATCAAATCGTAGTGCTGATGGTGGTGGCGATGGTGATGGCGATGATGGTGGTGCTCATCACATCCAGAATCACCATCATCACCATCACCATCATCACCATCACAACCGCCCTCACCATACCATCATCACCATCCCCATCATCATCATCATCATCATCATCATCATCATCATCATCACCATCCATACCATCAGCATGTTCCAGTATGTTAGAGCTCCGTGGGAGCTCCAACATGGCTTGTTAGAGCTCCCACGGAGCTCTAACATGGCTTGTTAGAGCTCCAACGGAGCTCTAACATAGCATGTTCGAGTATGTTAGAGCTCCCTGGGAGCTCTAACATGGTATGTTAGAGCTCCAACGGAGCTCTAACATAGCATGTTCCAGTATGTTAGAGCTCCCTGGGGGCTCTAACATAGTACGTTAGAGTCCCGTGGGAGCTCTAACATGGCTTGTTAGAGCTCCAACGGAGCTCTAACATAGCATGTTCGAGTATGTTAGAGCTCCCTGGGAGCTCTAACATGCTATGTTAGAGCCCCCATGTTAGAGCTACCTGGGAGCTCTAACACACCGAGCTCCAACGGAGCTTTAACATATCATGTTAGAGCTCAGTGGGAGCCCCCTGGGAGCTCTAAAATGGTATGTTAGAGCTCCGTGGGAGCTCTAACATGGCTTGTTAGAGCTCCAACGGAGCTCTAGCACAGCATGTTCGAGTATGTTAGAGCTCCCTGGGAGCTCTAACATGGTATGTTAGAGCTCCGTGGGAGCCCTAGCATGGCTTGTTAGAGCTCCAACGGAGCTCCAACATAGCATGTTCGAGTATGTTAGAGCTCCCTGGGAGCTCTAACATGCTATACTAGAGCTCCCATGTTAGAGCTCCCTGGGAGCTCTGGAATACCGAGCTCCAACGGAGCTTTAGCAAATCATGTTAGAGCTCAGTGGGAGCTCCCTGAGAGCTCTAACCTTCTATATTAATAGCATCTGCGTGTGAGCTCTACGTGGCTTGTTAGAAGCATCCAACGAGTCTCATATGTTTTGCATGTTCGAGTATTTTTGAGCTTTCCCAGGAGATTACACAATGCTATATAGGAGCGTGAATGTTATGAGCTCCCTGTGAGCCCTAACATACCGGACTCCCACGAGCTTTAACATAGTGTCTGTTTAGAGCTCATATGGGAGCTCCCTGGGAGCTCTACAACATGGGTAATGTTTAGAGCTCGCGTGGGAGCTCTAATTGGTGCTTGTTTTAGAGCCTTCAACGGAGCTCTAACATAGCATGTGCTTGTTATGTTTAGAAGCTCCAGGGAGCTCTAACATGCTATATTAGCAGCTCCCAGTCAGAGCCCCTGGGAGCTCTAAAATACCGACTCCACGAGCTTTGACATAGCAATGTTAATAGCTCCAGGATGGGTGCTCGCTGGGTGGGAGCTCTAACATGGCTTGTTAGAGCTCCAACGGAGCTCTAACATAGCATGTTCGAGTATGTTAGAGCTCCCTGGGAGCTCTAACATGGTATGGTAGGGCTCCGTGGGAGCTCTAACATGGCATGTTAGAGCTCCAACGGAGCTCTAACATAACATTTTCCAGTATGTTAGAGCTCCCTGGGAGCTCTAACATGGTATGTTAAAGAAGCTCCTTGGGAGCTCTAACATGGCATGTTAGAGCTCCACGAGCTGCTTAACATAGCATGTTCCGTATATTCGAGCTTGCCTGTAAGCTTCTAACTGTATGGTAGATTATCTCTTTGGAGCTCTACAACATGGCTTGTTAGCAGCTCCAACGAAGCTCTAACATACATGTTCGATATGTTCGAGCGTCCGCTCTGGAGCTCTGAACATGCTATAATTAGAGCTCCCTATGTTGACTCCCTGGAGCTCTAAAATTCCCGATGCTCCAACGGTGAGCTGTTAACCTTACGACATTGTTGGAGCTCAGTGGGAGTTCCCTGGGAGCTCTAACATAGCATGTTCGAGTATGTTAGAGCTCCCTGGGAGCACTAACATGGTATGTTAGAGCTCCAGCGGAGCTCTAACATGGTATGTTAGAGCTCCAACGGGGCTCTAACATAGCATGTTCCAGTATGTTAGAGCTCCCTGGGAGCCCTAACATACTCTAACTTGCTATGTTAGAGCCTCTTGGGAGCCCTCACATAGCATGTTAGAGCTCCCACGGAGCTCTAACATACTCTAACTTGCTATGTTAGAGCTCCCTGGGAGCTCGATCATAGCATGTTAGAGCTCCCACGGAGCTCTACCATACGATGTTAGAGCTCCCAGGGAGCTCTAACATAATATAACATGCTATGTATATAGAGTCCATTTTGAGCTCTAACATCAGGCGATGTTAGAGCTCCGTGGGAGCTCTAACATGCCATGTTAGAGCTCCCAGGGAGCTCTAACATATTCCAACTTGCTATGTTAGAGCTCCCTGGGAGCTCTAACCCGCCGCCGCCGCCGCCGCCGCCCCTGAACCGTTTCACAATCGATTGCGCAACGGTTATGACCCCACCCCTCTCGCCAGGCACCCCCCCCCATGGCGAGAGGGGGGGGGGGCTTAACCGTGTCACAATCGATTGCGCAACGTTTAAGGCCCCCCCCTGCGAGAGGGTGGGGTGGGGGCTTAACCGTTTCACAATCGATTGCGCAACGGTTAAGACCCCCCTCTCGCCAGAAGTGGGCGCCTCGTCTTAACCGTTTTCGAGATCGATTGTGAAAACGTTAGTGACCCCCCTCTCGCCAGGGGGGGGCCTTAACCGTGTCGCAATCGATTGCGCAACGGTTAAGGCCCCCCCCCCCTGGCGAGAGGAGGGGGTCTTAACCGTTGCGCGATCGATCGAATCCTGGTTAAGACCCCCCCTCGCGATAGGGGGTCTTAACCGTTCCGCGATCGATCGCGGAGCGGTTAAGACCCCTTACTTCGCTGGTTAAGCCCCCCTAGTGTTTTTGTGTTTTGATGCCGACGACGATTGTAATGATGGTGGTTATCAAATCGTAGTGCTGATGGTGGTGGCGATGGTGATGGTGATGATGGTGTGCTCATCAACATCAGAAAACACCATCATCACCATCACCATCACCACCATCACAACCGCACTCACCATACCACCATCACCATCCCCATCATCATCATCACCATCCATACCATCAGCATGTTCCAGTATGTTAGAGCTCCGTGGGAGCTCTAACATGGCTTGTTAGAGCTCCCACGGAGCTCTAACATGTTGGGAGCTCTAACCTGCTATGCTAGAGCTCCCAGGGAGCTCGAACCTAGCAAGTTAGAGTATGTTAGAGCTGATTGGGAGCTCTAACATCGTACGTTCGAGCTCCGATGGAGCTCTAGCATAGCTAACATCGTATGTTAGAGCTCCGTGGGAGCTCTAACATGCTTTGTTAGAGCTCCGACGGAGCTCTACCATAACATGTTCCAGTATGTTAGGGCTCCCTGGGAGCTCTAACATGGTATGTTAGAGCTCCGTGGGAGCTCTCACATGTTCGACGATTTCCCCTGCCCGCAATGTCGAACGACGGAGCGGGCCCTGGGGAGGGCGGAGGCGGCGCTGACAGGCAGCGTGCCCGACGCCGCCGACGACGCCGACGAGGTCGACGCCATCATCACCGACATGACGCCGCCCGGCAGCCCGCAGTTGCGGCGTGTGCCGCGGCCGCCCCAAGAGACGCAGGCTGCGCCCGCTGAGGCGGTGGGCGGGGCGGGCCCGGTGCCACCGCCAAGCCCAGCGTCGCCGCCGAGGGCGGAGGCGATGCCCACGGCGGCGGCGAAGGCTGGGGCGCGGCCAAAGGCGAAGCCGAAGCCAAAGGCGACGGCGAAGCCGAAGCCGAAGGCCAAGCTCAAGGCGAGGGTGGCGGTCGTCTCCGTCTTGAGCATGATGGCGCCGCGGGGCGCCGACGACCCGCCCGACGCAGCGGGCGCCCTCCCCGAGGCGCCCGAGGGCGCGCCGCCTCTTGATGGCGACGCCGCCACCGAGGAGCCCCCGCCTGGGGCGCCTTTCCCAGAGTTGCCGTCGCAGCCGCCCGCCCAGATGCGCCCAGAGCCGACGATGATCACGCGCACCACGTTCATCCGCGACGTTAGGTTGCGATGCGGGTGGTGCAACGACGAGGTAACTGCAGGCAGGGCTCGGTTGAGGGGCAAGTCGCAGCAGAAGTACAGGTGCGACCGTTGCAATGTCCACATCACGCAGCTTAGCCGCGAGTTCGGCGAGTTCCCGCGCAGCGACGTCAAGCGCCTGGGCGAGGAGACGCAGCGGGCCTTCTCCAAGGACGTGCGCTACGTCTCCAGCGGGAAGATGGTGGTCGCCAAAGTCAAGGAGCTCATGCGGAGCTACGAGAATCACGAGGACTACCGCGCCGAGGGAGGGGGGTCCCCCCCCCCCCCCCTAGGCGCGTGGAGCACGCGCGGCTTCGATGCCGCGCTCATCGAGGCCAACAGCCTGGAGAAGGACAAGAGGCAGCGCAGGGCCTTGGGCGCAACGTACCGCGCCCCGATCCTGTCTGGAGGCCATCGTGGAGCCAGGGGCACCGAGCGGTCCCACGTCGCCGAGGCCTCGCGCCCCTCCAAGAGGATCAAGAAGACGACGGTCGCTGCCGCCGACGAGGAGCCTGATGAGGGGCCATCGGACGACGACGACCCGGACTCCAGCTCGGACTCGAGCATCAGCTCGGACGACGACAAGAACAAGAAAAAGAAGAAGGCGAAGAAGGCGAAGAAGCAGAAGCAGAAGGCAGCGAAGAAGGAACGGGCGAGGAAGGAGAAAGATCGCAAGAAGGCGCTGGAGGAGAAGGGGACGGGCCAAGCAGGAGAGGAAGGCCGCCGCCGAGAGCCGCAAGGCGGCGGCGGCGAATGGCAAGTTGGCCGACTGCTTCGAGAAAAAGGTGACGGAGATCTTGACGGCCATCAACAGGGTGGTGGGCCATCGTTTGTCCCCTGAGTTCCGCCAGAGCATCAAGGATGACATGAACGCGTTCCAGGCCAAGCTGCAGTGCATGTCGCAGGACATCGAGAAGGCCCAGAACGGTGTCGGCAGCTCCATCCGCTACGTGAGCACGACCGCCGAGGCCAAGGCCTCCGCGGCTACTGAAAGCCCTTTTGAGCTTATAACGCACTTGGCAATCCCCCCCCATCCCTCCTCCTCCTCCTCCGCCCTCCTCTTCCTCCTTATGGGCTCTCGTCGTCGCCGTCGTCGTGGTCGCGGTCGCGTTCGGCATCTTCGGGCTCTTCGGGATCTGAGGGCCCTTAGGGCTCGTAGGGCTCATAGGGCTCCTAGGGCTCATCGGGCTCCGACGGATCACAGGGCCCCTGAGACCTCTTCGGGCTCTTAGAGTTCCGTTTGCCACTAGGGCTCTCAGGGATTCTAGGGCGATTAGGAGCCTTGGGGCTCTTCGGGCTCCCAGGGCTATCAGATCTCCCAGGGCTCTTATGGCCCTTGGGGCACCGAGGGCGCGCGGGGCTCTTAGGGCCCCGATGATTCAATTGTATCATAGAGCTCTGTTGATTGCTCTTGGGGCATTTCGGGCTCTGAGGGCCTTGCGACTCGTCGGGCTATTGGGGCCCCTGTGATCATTCGGGGCCCTCAGGGCTCTTGGGGCTCGCAGAGCTCATGGGACTCTAAGGACTCGTTGGGCGCCCAGGGCTCTTTGTGCACTTACGGCTCTCAGGGTTCCTATAGGTCCCTTCTGGCACTTAGGGCCCTTGAGAGTCTCGGGGTTCCCAGGGCGCGTCGGGCGTTTAGGGCTCTTAGGGCTTTTAGACCCCAGGGCCCTCGGCCCCTACATGAGATTCCATGGCCCCGGGGGCCATTGGCACAGGTGCGACTTGTGCGTTGGGAGGACGGGCGGGAGCGAGCGAGGCGGCTTAAGCCAGGGTAGATACCCTGGAGTGCCCAAGACATCTCATCATGGCCCCTAGAGGGCCTGAGAGAGCGCAACGTGGTCTCCAAGACGCCCCACCTCTCGGGGCCACATGCGCGCCCTCTCGGTGCCTTCTGAGGGTCTGGGCCTCGTGCCTCCCGAGGCCTTCCTGACCGACGTGGGCCGCAAGCTTCGCGCGGCCCAGGCCTTGTTGGATCTGAACGGCCGCTTCGGCGCGGCGCGAAGGTCAGCCTGATGGCCACGTGCGAGATGATCGTCGACGACTGAAGGGCCATCGGAGGTTGGGGTGTACGACATCCTCAGGGCCTCGAGCTTTTTGTGTATCAGCATGCCTTGCGCGACCCCGTCGAGGAGTAATTCTTCGACCGAGGGCCGAGGTCGCCGTCGGAACAAGGGCAGGCGGCACGTCGACCTCGCCCCCTCCCTCGTCGGAAACGGAGCGAGCGGCCCACATCCTCCTCGTCGCCCTCTCCATCTCCCCGTCGTCCTCCTCGTAGTCTTCCTCGTCGGCCACCGCGCCCCTCCACCGACATTCCCGACGCTTCGCGCGCCCCCGCCAGCCCGTCCAGAAACGACGCCCAGGCGAGCTGACGAGGGAGGAGGGACAAGGGTGGCGAATAGGACGAGGAGGAGGATGAGGAGGATGAGGGGGCGGAGGAGGAGGAGAAGGGGGGAGCAGTTGGAGGAGCTACAACTGGCCTTTGACCAGCCGGGGTGCGGCTAGCGACGCTAACACCGCCGATGGCAGCCGCTCCAGGCGGCATGCCACCGTTTCCTGGGCATCGTTGTTGGGGGGGGGGGGGGGGGGGGGTGGTGTCCGAGGGCGAGGGCTGCATGAAGCGATGGGGCGGTGGCGCACTGTGCTGAAGCCCTCGCTGCGGATGCCCCTGCGGCGGTGGGCGGGCGCTCCTGGGGCCATGCTGGAGCCCTGGGCCCCATCCAGGCAATATTGGAGCCATCTTGATGCCTCGGGGGGGCGTCGGAAGCGAAATGGCGAGAACGCGCGCCATGCCGATTTGCTGTTGGGCTTTGTTCCCAACCATCCTGCGGTGTTGGGCCTTCGTTTTGAAGAGACAGCGCCCGCGTTCACCTCCCCCTCCCGCTGCCTCCTCCATCCTCCTCTTATCATCGTCATCGTCATCATCATCATCGTCATCATCGACGTCATCACCACCATCGCCATCGCCATCATCATAATCGCCCATTTCGGCACACCCCCCACACGCTTCGTGCCCCCAGAGGGAGCTCCACCGAAGGCCCCAGTAGCAGGGTTCGCATGGCGGCCCCGGGCCATTTCGGCACACCCCTCACGAGGACCGTTGCCCCATAGGGAGCTCCACCGAAGGCCCCAGTGGCAGGGTTCACATGGCGGCCTCGAGCCATTTCTGCACACCCCTCACGAGGATCGTGGCACCATAGGGAGCTCCACCGAAGGCCCCAGTGGCAGGGTTCGCCCGGGCCATTTCGGGTTCCACGTTTTCTTCGACAGAAGTGGCCGCATAAGTGGGCTCCACCGAAGGCCCCAGGTGTGCAACGGGTTCGCACCGTTGGACCTCGGGCATTTCGTCAACACCCCTCAACGAGGGACTCGCAGGCCCCATAGGACGGCATCCAGCCGAAGACCCCAGAGGCAAGGGTTGTGTCAATGGCGGCCTCAGGGCCAATTTGCGGGCACCGCCCTCACGAGAGAAAGACCGGTGGCCCCCATACGGGGACGCTCCACGAAGTGCGCGAGGGCCAGCAAGGAGCCTTCCGCATGGTCGGCCTCGTGGCCATTCCGGGCACACTCCTCACTAGGATACCTGTGTGCCCCATAGGATCTTCCACCTGACGTCCCCAAGACCGGCGGGTTCGCATGGCGGCCCGGGGCTACGCGGCCATTTCCGGCAATACTACCCGCCTCCACGATGGACGCGTGGTTATGGGCCACCATAGTGAGCTCCGCCGAAGGCCCCAGCGGCAGGGTTCGCATGGCGGCCTCGGGCCATTTCGGCACACCCCTCACGAGGATCGTGGCACCATAGGGAGTTCCACCGAAGTCCCCAGTGGCAGGGTTCGCATGGCGGCCCTGCCCCATGTCGGCACGCTCCTCACACGGGTCGTGGCAGCATAGGGAGCTCCACCGAAGGCGGTACCCACCACGCGGTACCCTCATTTGCATACTGTTGGGTTCTTCGCCAGGGAATATATATATATATATATATAAATATGCGTATGTCTGCATTTATGTATATATTATATATAATATATTCATATATCTTTAAGGCTGGTCCGTAACAATTATATTATATATATCATGTAAATTGGCGCGGGGGGCTCACATGGATAGCCCTTTGGCCACTGGAGGCCTTCCTTGGGCGGTCTGTGCCCTCCTGGAACCATCTTGGAAGCCAACCTTGATCGACGCGCGCACACACTGCACCCACACACAAAACACACGCACACGCCACGCGCCCGCCCGCCCGCCCAGGAAGGGGGTACGGAAGGAAGCGGACTGTCCGAGACCTCTGGCGAGGCTGGTGGGGTTGACTGAATCATATTGGGTGCGCTCCTCTCTGTCCTCGAGGCGAAGAATTCCCCGCCCAAATTGGCACATAGACTCCCCCTCTACCTATTGGCATTCTCCTCCGCCCGCCCCCCCCCCCCCCTCGCCCAATTGTCTGCGGCCCCCACCCCCCTCCCCCCATCCGTAGCAGCGGCATTTTCCACCCCATGGCCCACGACGCAATGCAGAAGCGTTTGAGACTGCAGTCCGCGCTGCACACGGGCGGGATATTGCTGGATGGGTTAGCGCGGATTGTCGCGAAACTCGGTTGCGAGCCTGCCGGCGATAAGAAGCTTCGCGCTATAAGCCACGAGTTGCTCGAGAGGGCGAGGTTCGACGTCGATCTGCGCTTGACAACTGGCGAACCATGGCGATGGGAGGTTTGCCAGCCCGCGCTCGTTCTCCAGGAGATGGCGGCCGCTTCGGGCGAGTTGCAGACGTGTTTCTCGAATGTTTGCTCGAGGCGCCCGTGCTCGATTGACAGACCTTGGAGCATGGTCATCGGCTTAGACGGGCACGCGGTTGGCGACAAGAAGAGGCCGAAAAACAAGCGAAACACCATGGTTGTTTCTTTCAATGTTTTAGAGCTCGGGGGATCAGTTTTGAGCCACGAGGCAACCTGTGCGACCTTCGCTGTGATTCGGGATCACATCATAGGCAAGGTCGAGGGCAAGTGGTCCAGATTGTTCGCAATACTTCTGCGTGAGATCCTGCTTGGCCCCCTGTCCTTCAGAGACGCGGGCGTGGCGTTGAATGTGCTCGGCCAAACGCGCCTGCTGTTCGCAACGGTGAAAGGTGTTTTAACCGACCTCGACGGCCACAGGATGACGTTCGACTGGACGGGCGCAGGCCCCCACAAGCCATGCATTTTTTTTGCGGCAGTTGTTGGAAGAAGGATTCACATCCCATTCCAGGGTGCCACGGTATATATTGTTCAGATTTCTCGAAATTTCGGCTGCGTGATCACGAGGACATGGTTGCAAATATGGGCGTCGTTTTGGTGGCTAACGCGAGACGTGGCGCTGGGGCCATGGGCGCTGGGGATTTCAAGGAGCTCGTTCAGGGCGTCGGCTTCAAGCCAAGCCCACTGGGCCTTCTAGCAGATGGGGCTTTGTGCGACATCCTCGACATATCTGACACCATCCGCACAGACTGGGTGCACCATTATCTACAACATGGCGCATTTTCTTGGGAATACACGGCTTACGTGAGAGCGTGCGAGAGCAAGTTGGGAATGTTGTTCGAGATGTGGGGTGGGTTGGTGAAAGTTGATTGGACATTCCCCTTATCCATGGGCGTCAAGATCAGCCAAGTCTACGACGCATTTCCCGCAACCTCCGAGGAGGCGTCGAAGATTCGGTGCAAGGCAGGTGATCACATATCTTTGTATGTTATCATGCGTCATTTTGTCGAGTGCAGACTGCTCGACATCCCTGGCCTTGAGAGGGAGAACGAGTCTTTCAGCGCAGCACGTGCTGTCTTGGACCTCGTCCTCGAGGCTAAGAGGGCCCCGCAGACGGGGCTCGCAGCCATTCTCAATGAGCCCAGGGCCGCTCTTCGTATACACATGGATAGGCATGCAGCCGCATACGGCAAGAGGTATTTACTTCCGAAACACCACGCCATGCTGCATATGCCAGATCAAATTTGGAAGGGCAAGTTTGTAGCCGACGTGTTCGTTGTTGAGCGCTTAAATATTCGCGTCAATCAGTCCGCAGAGAACAGTGTCAGGAACACAGAGCGGCACGAGTACTCTGTCCTCTCGAACTTGCTGACGAGGCACCATAATGATTTGAGCGATGGTGTGCGATCCCTCCGCGAGGGCCTTCGCGGGTCTAGAAAGGAATTGCCAGGCTATCCAAATGTGGAGTTGGGTCATGGCGCCTGGGAGGGTGGTCGCGGGTTGCACGTTCACGACGTGGTTTTGGTCGGGGATGGTGCTGGCCTCGTGTCGGCCTGCGTCTGCGAACGTGGGGCGCTGTACGTTGTCGTCAGGAAATTGCTGCCCACTGGCAGGCGCACCCGCTCAAGCAGATGGTTTTCGCTTCCGCGGGGGTTGATGGCAGTTAGCATGCGCGATGCTCACGCGGCCCACGCGTGGCACCGCGATGGGGGCGCCTATGTGGTGCTGGTTTAAATTAGCCTGGCGAAGGACCCAACCATATGCAGTTGTGAATACCGCAATTGTGAGTACCATCTTCGTCCGCGCTCCCCATGGGGCCACGAAACGTGTGAGGGGTGTGCCAAACTGGGGCGCGCGCCGCATGCGGGCTGCGCCACTGGGATCTTGGGTGGAGCTCCGTATGGGGCCACGAAACGTGTGAGGGGTGTGCCAAAATTGGGCGCGTACCGCATGCGGGCTGCGCCACTGGGGCCTAAAGTGGAGCTCCCTATGGGGGCACGAAACGCGCGCGAGGTGTGCCAACATTTGGCGCGCACCGCATGCGGGCTGCGCCATTGTGGCCGAAAGTGGAGCTCTGTATGGGGCCACGAAACGTGTGAGGGGTGTGCCAAAATTGGGCGCGTACCGCATGCGGGCTGCGCCATTGGAGCCTACGTTGGAGTTCTGTATGGGGCCACGAAACGTGTGAGGGGTGTGCCAAAACGGGGCGCGTACCGCATGCGGGCTGCGCCACTGGGACCATATATGTGGAGCTCCCTATGGGGCCGCGAAGCGTGTGCGGGGTGTGCCAAAATGGGGCGCGCACCGCATGCGGGATGC